ATAGTATAATATAACAGTAAATGTGCAAAGCCGTTGTTTGATATTCTGAGAAGATGAATTGACAGGTTAGGCTGACCATCCCTCACGTTCTCAGAGCGCAGGTGAGTGTGAAACATGGGAAGGAAGTAGGAGAGTCCTGACGTAAGACGTTTCTCCTGCTGGTTAGGAGGTGAGGATGGGAACGGCGCCATCAGGAAATGTGTGAATACCGGAGTGTAAGCCGCAGTCCTAGTCTCTGTGTACAAAGGAGCTTCTTTGGTTTGATGTTCAGGGCTAGGAGAGAGGAGACATGATAAGGAAGATGGTTCTTTTTCCTGCTACTTTGAAAAAAAATTATATTGGTTTGTGTACAAAATTCATGTACATTTTGTATCATGCATGTACACTGTGTCTCACGCGTTTCTTCATTTATATTGTATTTCAAATGATCACTCATATGTAACTGTGCTTTATAAAAGCCATCACTGTTGATCTATGCCCACTATTATCCTGTCTTCTCAAGTCCCCATCGGATCGTTCCTAATTCCCTCACCACCCCCACTCTGCCCACCAAACCCTTATCCTAGTGGCTTTCCCCCCTTCGCCCTTCCCCCTTTGCCCCCCTCCCCTGGAACGATGCCTCCCACGTGAACACCAGAACTACTGCAATCAAGTTGATCCCGATTCATAGCCCACAGGATACAGTAGAGACACCTCATAGCCTGTGAGCAAAGCTGTGACCTTTACAGAAATAGACTGCCACATTATTCTCCTGTAGGGTGGCTGCTGGATTTGAACCACTGAGCTCTTGACTAGCAACCTTTCCTAGTAACCGCTGCAGCAATAGGTCTCCTGGCTGAATGTGGAGTTGAGTAAATCAAAGCCTTCATACCAGTCTTTCCCTAGCCTTCTTGGACTTTTTCTTTGGTGGAAATTGGTATCCTTATCTAGAAGACATGCCACCGGAGATGGTGGGTGAAGGATCAGTTGCAGAGGGCAGTGGTATAGACCACGGGTTTCCGTGGTTCTGTCCCAGTTAGCCAACAATGTCCTGGATTTAGCAGAGTGTCCTGGAAAGTCTTAAGTCCCAGGACACACTCAGACAGCTGGGCACCATGTGGAGACCCATTTCCTCCGGGGCCAAAACAGCTAAACTGTTGGGATCTGAATTCCTACCCAGTTGAATGACCTGCCTCAGGAGCCCTGATCTGGGCCTTGTGTCTGATGACGTGGACCAGAAGGCGTGGCACTGGGACTTGTGCTTGGATCCACTCCTAGCAGAGATGGCCCCAGAAGAGTCAACCTAAATGGGGTGCCTTCTCAGAAGTATGAAGCAGGAAGATTCCCAAAGGTTCTGCAAGCCTTTCTCAAAGAAGGATCTGACCAGATCCTAAGGGAGCTCTGGTAGCTTAGGGGTAAGGAGCTGCACTGACAACACAAAAGGCACAGGTTTTAACCCCCCCCCCCCCACCGATGCTCCATGGGAGAAATATGAGCAATCTCCTCCTCTGAAAACTCACTGGAGGGTCAGCCTTTCAACCTGGTAAATGTAACAACCCCGAATCCTAAACCTGAGGAGCTTCACTGGATCAAATACGGTATCTTACCAGATAACTAACGGAAGGATCTCTCCCAACTGAAGGTGCTTTGTTACGTGTTGTGTCTGTTTCTCTGGCTAGAATGGCCACTGGCTATTTAAGGGACACTTTTCACTGTGCTTCCACTTCCTAACAGCACTTTGAGCATACAGTCACCCCCTGCCCTCCCAGTCTTCCTGTTTCTTCCCAGTCCATTCTCTACCCTCGTAGAAGGGAGGTACGTCTTACTGTGACGGTGTCTCAGGCCTGCAGAGTGCTCTGAATCATGAAGTTTCTAAATCTACTTGTATTTACACTTGACCTTGAAGAGTTGATTTCCCGTGTTCTCTTTGCAGGGTCAGAAAGGAGGCAAAGGAGAAAGTGGCAACCCAGGACTTCCTGGATTCCAGGGCCCACGTGGGCCTCCGGTAAGCAGGGACCCCCACAGGGGCCCAGGTGCCTAGCTCCAGAAACAAGGTCACGGTCACACAGACCTTTCACCTCAGGTGCCCTCAGGTTATCTGTTATTAGCTACTGTTGTTGTTATCAGATGCCACTGAGCAGAGTACAACTCATAGTGACCCTGTGAACAACAGATTGAACCCTGCTATATCCTGCACCATCCCCATACTTCCTGACATACAAGAACCCATTGTAGCAGTCACCTTGTCAGTCCACCTGGTTGAGGGTCTTCGTCTCCTTCACTGACCCTCCACCCTTCTCAGCATCATGTCCCTCTCTAAGGAGCAACATGTACAAAGTATGTGAGGTGAAGGCTCATCATTCTTTCCTTCAGAGAGGTACTTCGGCTGCACCTTCTCCAAGACATAGAACTGTTTATTTCTTTGTTTGTCCATGGGATGTTCAGTGCTCTTCTCCAACACCACAGTTCAAAGGCATCAGTTCTTCTTCTGCCATCCTTATTCATTGTCCAGCTCTCAGATGAATAGCAAATGGTTGGGAAATCTATGGACTGAATCAGACACACCTTAGTCATCAAACTGACATCATTACCCCTCAATAATTCAGAGAGGTCCCTAACTGCAGACTTTCCCAGAGCAATGTGTCCCCTTATTTCCTGACTGCTAGTACCAAGGGTATTAATTGTGAATTCAAGCAAGATGAAACTGTTGACAGTTTCAATCTCCTCTCCATCTATCATGATGTTGCCTCTTAGCTCAGTGGTGAGAATCTTTGTTTTCCTGACATTAAGATGCAATCCATACCAAAGGCTGAATTCTTAGATCTTCTGCAACAAGTGGTTCAAGTCCTCCTCACTTTCAGCAATCATGGTGGTATCATCTACATAATGCAGATTATTGATGAGTTTTCCTCCAATCTTGATGCCACACTGCTCTTCATAGAGTCCAGCTTCTTAGATACTTTACTCAGCATACAGATTGAATAGGTATGGAGAGAGAATACAACCCTGACACACTCTCTTCACAATTTTAAACCATGTAGTGTTCCCCTGCTCTGTTTGCACAACAGCCTCCTGGTCCAGGTGTAGGTTTCACCTGAGCACAATTAAGTGCTCTGGGAATCCCATTCTTCTCAACATCAGTCACAACTTGTTATCCACACAGTCAAATGCCTTTGTATAGTCAATAAAGCACAAATAGACATTATTCCAGTATTCTTTACTTTCAGCCAGGATCCATCTGACATCAGCAATGATATCCCTGGTATCATAGTCTCTTCTAAATCCTGCCTGAACCTCTGACAAGTCCCTGATGCGGGTCTACCCACCGCCAGCCCAGCCCAGCTCATTCTAGATGTTCCTTCTTCATCCTCCCCTTCCATTCCAGCCCGCGCCTTAACAAGCTTCTGTCTACTTGGTGTTATTTCGTCCTGGAAGAAATAGACAAGAAAACATTTGTCAATCCAAGGATTGCACATGTGACACCGATGTGTCAAATGTGGTAACAGTTACCCATGGTGGACAGTGTTTGGTGGAGCTCCCCAGTTAAAACAAGCTTGGAAGCAGGAGTGGCATCCACTTCGATAATAGCTTGTCTCCGGAAACCCTATGAACCTGGAGAAAGGATGAAAGTCACGCAAGGGTCGAGGACTTTCGTTCATAGGGTCGCTATGAGTCACCTATGACTCCATGGCACGTAACAATAACAACAATTAATTTGCATTGATTATATTCTTCATATGCAGCCTTTATCACTCTCTGTTTCCAAGTTATTCTCCCACCATTAAAATAAAATCAACGTCCCCTGAACAAAAAGAACATCCCCTTTCCCCTTCCCAGTATTATTTGAGGAGCCCTGGAATGTGGAGCACCAGTGAAAGAGAGGAAGACCCGTGACAAGACGGATTGACACAGGGACTGTAGCAGTGGGCTCAGGTGTGTCGGAAGTGAAGGTGGCCCAGGGAGGGCTTCAGATCTGGTGTCCATAGGATTGCTATGAGTTGTACTCAGCTCAGCGGCACCTAACCCCACAACAGCATGGCACTGATGGACATCCAGAAGGCTGGCGGTTCTACCCACCAGCAGTTCTGAGAGAAGGACGTGCAGTCTCAGCTCCCAAAGATAGACAGCCTTGGAAAACTGAGGGTGGGTCACCAGAGTGAGAACGGACTCAAGGGGAGTGGGTCTGCTCTGGTAATAATGTTTATGTCCTTGTATTTGTTCCTATGACCACTGTGTTCAATCACCTGCACCACCGCCGAATGCCGCAGTGTCCTCTGTCTCTATTAATAATACTCTGGTTGTCCTTGACTCTCCAAGTATCCACTCCTCCAGACACATTGGAATGTTCAATCCATCAGCACTTCTGAATCCTTTACAAGTACCAAGTCCAAGTGACCTCTTCTCAAAATAAGTCAGTCAAAATCCAGGGATGGCAGTGGTATGATCGGCAATCAATCACGGGGTGATGCCCAATGGCAGGGCTCTAGCTCATTGTGGGTGAGGCCACCATGAGCCATGGGCCAACCCAACAGCAGCAACAACACATTGAAATCCTATGTGGCCAGAGACGTCTGCACTTCTCAGTTTATACATGGGGAAACCGAGGCAAAGAAATCGTGAGGAGGTTGTTCGAGTCACAGGCTAATAAGAGCAAGGACCAAGCTTGGCTCTGGAAATGACTCTAGAGCCATGTAGCATTTCACACTGGGATTCTGCCCCTGGGGAGGGGGGTTGCCCTCCCTCCACCAGCCTGTTTGTAAACATAGTATTATAGGGTCTCTCCTGATGGGGTCACCCCCATGCCATTGGCTGGAACACAGCCCTGGAGGCTCCCCTCCACCCCTTAGGGCCTATTTTCTTTTCGTGTCCTCTGGAAAGACTGGTCAGAGAAGCTGCTGTTTGGGACACCAGATCGTTGATTGGTGCCTGCCTTCATGGAAACATAACTTGCGTGCAAACGGGTTTGGAGACGTGTGGTTTTGCCTTGTGCTAATGCTATAACCAGCTGCCATGTTGTTCTGTTTCACAGGGAGAACCAGGAGAGAAAGGAGTTCCGGGCAAGGAGGCAAGTATTTCCTACTTCCACTTAAGTTCCTGTGGGAGCACCGGGCAGGCTGGGGTGGGGAGACCGCAGCCCAGTACAGGGGGTGGAGGGGAGGACCACAGCCCAACACAGGGCAGGTGGAGTGGAGACCACAGCCCAACACAGGGCAGGTGGGGGGTGGGGGCAAGACCACAGCCCAGCACAGGGTCCACCCTACAGGCCAGTGCTCAGTGACTCCTGCACTTGCTTTAACTTTCTGTGGTTTTCATCTCAAGATCCTTAATACTTGATAACAGGAGACCCAATCTTTAATTTCTCAAAATGTCCTAAACATTATATAGCTTTCTGAGGGAGCTTGTCCTAGGTATACCCCTTGTGCCCATTTCATCCTTCTTCAACAAGGCCTGTCACCTCTCACTCCAAAAGCCCTTTCGTTCTGTCCAAGCACCTAGGAGACCCTGCTCATCTCACCAGCCATCCAGTCACTGGTGTCTCTGTTACTGCTTACCAATCCTGCCTCCTCCTGCTGTCTGGACTCCTGTGTCCGGAAGTCACACTGGTCCTAAGAGCTCTGGTGGTGCAGTGGTTAAACACCTGACAGATAAGCAGGAGTGAGCGAACAGAGGCAATCTGTTTCTGCAGATTTCTTTCTGTGCATTTCTTTTTTGCGTATCTGGCTAGATTTATCCCTAAATATTTCCTCTTTTTGGTGGCTGTTGTCAGTGGCTTTGTTTTCCTCATTTCCTTCCCGGCGTCCTCTTCCACTGGACAAGAATCCAGCTGATTCTGCATGTTGATGCTGTACCCTGCGTTTTACTGAATTGGTTAATTAAATTCAGTCATTTTCTTGCTGAGTCCTTGGCATTTCCTATATATAGTACCATAACATCTGCAAATAGAGATAGTTTTCATTCCTTTTTGCCCATTTGGGTGCCTTTTATTTCCTTTTCTTGCCTTATTATTCTGGCCAAGACTTCCAGTGTAAAGAATATTGACTATTCTGACTATCAGAAGAATAAACTTGTCTGGGAAGGCGCACAGCCACGGTGCTCCTCAGAAGTGAGCGTGAGGCCTCTTAGTCTCTTGTGCTTTAGACCTGTTTGTAGGAAGGACCAGTCCCCTGGAGAGGGAGAACCTGCTTGGAAAAGCAGGGGGTCAGTGGAAAAGAGGAAGACCTTCAGTGAGCTGCATTGACTGACGGAGTGGCTGTGACCACATGCAAGGCAAAGCTTGTGAAGGTGCAGCAGGAGAGCCAGGGTTCCCCGCCGCTGCTACACGTCACGCTGCTGTGAGTCAGCGGACTTGGTGGCCCCAGCGACGATGGCTTTCCTTTCCGTTCCGTTCCGTTCCGTTCCGTTCCGTTCCTTTCCGTTCCTTTTCCTTTTCCTTTTTCCTTTCCTTTCCTTTCCTTTCTTTTCCTTTTCCTTTTCCTTTTCCTTTTCCGTTCCATTCCGTTCCTTTCCTTTCCGTTCCTTTCCTTTTCCTATTTTCATTTTTATATTTTTTTTTGTATGTGTACCATCAAATCGGATCTGACTGGTACAGGAGGAGATTGTTCCTCCTTCTCCAGCAGAGCATCTGGTGGATTCCAACAACACACCTCTGGGATTGCAGTATAGCTTCTTGCCACTAGGCCACCAGAGCTCGCCGTGTATCTACTTTTCTCAGTCCTTTGAGAAACAGTCTCCAGTTTTCCTTTCTAAGACTTCAGAAGCACCCTTTCCATACCTACTATGGTGATTATCCCACCCCGTCCTGTCTGACAGTGCTGCCCTCCCCTGTCTCAGAGGCAGGCTGTGCACTCCCTCTGAAAGGACCAGGGCTGAGTCGTGTAGCATTTTTCTCTGCATGCATCTCAGGAAACCAGGAGACCCTCTGCATGAATACCGTAAATGTGGAGGTAGATTCTGCCTGGTCTCAGGGCAACTCAAGAATACTTGTGCAATTTCATTTCTTCTATTGAACCAGCTTGGGTTCCACTGAACAGGACATGGGAAGTGGACTACTGGGCTGAATTTGCCCAGCATGTTTCAAGCCCTTTGGCTTGAATTTATTGAGCACCTACTAAGTGCAGAGCAGGACTGAGCAGAAAGAGGAGAGTCCAGAAAGTCCCTGCTTTGCAAATGGTTGTTCTCGAAGACGGAAGAGACCCACACCATATGCTTGTGATCACATCTGGGTAGAAAGCAAGCTACCCTTCAGCCAGTGCCAACTGACCCGTGCTTGAGGATGGGGCCCTGACTAGAGAGGAGGCGAAGGAGGAGGACAGAGCAGGGATGACGGGATGCCCCAGCTGCAGGGTCAAAGCAGCTACATCACAGGAAAGGCAGATCTCAGCAGTGAAGGCTGCCCGCCCATCCCTGCCCCAGATCACCACCCAGGAGGGGTCAGGCCACTGAGACCACGAAGATGGCCCCTGCCTGCCCATCCCTGCCCCAGATCACCACCCAGAAGGGTCAGGCCACTGAGACCACGGAGATGGCCCCATCTCCAAGTGTGGGGAGGCCAGTAAGGGGTCCTGGAGGCTGCAGGCAGGTGAACTTGCATGTTCCAGTGAGTAGAATGGGAGGAGCAGGAGGGAGAGGCCATGGGTCAGGGAGCCAGCGAGCAGGCTGGCACTGTCCCCCAAGGGAGAGCACAACGAAGGGGAAAGAAGAAGTGGACAAGCCACACCCCAAAGGCACTGCTGGCAGGTCCGGTCATCCAGGCCTACGCCCTGTCCCCAGGATTGTGGAGAAGGACAGGAGAGGCCAGGTCGCACCCGAGGTCCTGTGAGTGATGGCACCCTCTGACTCTTGTTGCAGGGTGCTGCTGGGAAGCCCGGAGAGCCTGGGTCCAAAGGAGAGAGGGTAAGTGGGCATGACAGCGATGGTGACCTTTACCCCAGGGCTCTGACTCCAAGACTGGACTGGTCCAAGGTGGGACCTGCTGGCCTTGTCCGCCTCCCCCAGCCTTCTGGGGAAAACCACGTGGGCTACAAAAAGATGGCCTGCTGGCATTGGGCATTGCCCACATTACTGGGGTTTTGGTTTTGCCCTCTCTCTTCCTTTGATTGTTATTTTAAAGCATAAAATCACTGCAATTACACAATCAAAGGTGAGTGAGCTTGTGGGGAAGGTGACAGATCCTCTCACAAAGCACAAGTGCGGTTTGCATGACAAAGCAGCTTTGGTCAGGCTTCCAGAGCTGATCTGCCAGCAGCCAGCTTTGTGACTGGAGGTGGCAAGGGGACAGACTTTCCATAATGAATTGGCTTGGCACGGTGCTGGCAAAGGCTTTCTTTACATTAAAAAAATAATAGAAACAAACAAGGCAGGTGGGGGAAGCAGTTTTTCAGAAAAGTCAGAGGGGGAGGGAGTTCTCACATTCTGACCACTACTGCTGCTTATTGGGTAAATAAGCCATCAGGCTTGGTGACATTATAGGTGGCCTGCATCATAGGTGCACACTCTGGAAAGCCCATCTCCTGCTCGCCCCTCCCCTTTACCCCGGCTTGCCTCCTACCATCCTGCAAGGAATTTACTGCAGCTTCGTTTGCACGTTGGACCAGTGAGGAGGTGGCTGGCTGATTATACAGCCTGGAGCAAAGAGAGAGAAATAAAAAAATCATTTCTTCTTTCTCTTGGACTCCCTAACTCACTTCTCCTGGTGACTGACCCCTGAGTCCTCTCATCCGAAGACCTAAGTGATGGAGCCAGGCTGTTGAAGTCCCCAGTGTGGACTAGCTCTTTGGAGCTAGTGATATAGAGCATGAACTTGAGTTTGGACTGGGAGCCCAGGAATTCAACCATAATCGTGAATCCCTTCTCATGCCTTAGTCTACATACAGTACACAGACTTACTCCAGTACTCAGACTTCATGCTTGTTTACTAATCCGGTGTAGATAGTTTCCCTTTGTTCCCACCATGGCTGGGATTCTGTTTCTAGGCATGGCTGGCCTCTGACCTTTCTCCAGCCCCACAGCACTTTCCCACAGAGTCAAAGCCTCTTTCCCAGTTTCCAGTTCCTGTCAAGTGCACAGGGAGCACCTGGTCAGCCGGGTGAGCATAGATTCACTCCGTGCTTCCTTAGTCATCTGTAGTGAACAGTTTTGGGGGATCTTGCCATCTGTGAAACTCTTCTCTGTAGATCAGATAATGCTCACGTGCAGATTAAGTACCCAGACTGGGCCCTCCTTGCTCTGAGTGAAGGACAAATGAAAAAGAATTGCCTGATTTTTTTCGTGCTTGAAGTAATCCTGGCACGGGCCAAACCCTTGTCAGAGTTCTCAGTTAAGAGGAAAGGCAAAGAAAGAAAAATAAAAGTAAAACAAGGATAGTTTTATTGGAAAACTATGTCCCAAAGGCCTAGAGAGGCCATTTTTCTCTAACAGAGGGGAGTATGGCCCAAAGCCCTCTCTCCGCTTGGAGCAAGGCTTTTCATAATGGGCCCTGGCCCCTCTTTGACTCACAGGAGCTCCACCGTGTTCCGTTGGACTTTCCCTCTTCTGTCTCTAAGAGTTAGAGACAAGTAAACCACACTTGCTTTGCCTGTGGGTTCTCTATGGTGTTGTCTTCGGGTTCTCTGCCCTGTTGCCTTGCCTGCTGGGCCCTGGGGATGCTGTGTGAGAGCTCCTTCCTCCTGCTACGTGGTTTCTTGGAGCTGGCCTGGCGGAGGCCCCACTCCTGAGAACTCCCAGGGACATAAGATGCACAGGGCTTTCAGCATAAACTGCCGTTGTGACGTTTAAGGAGCGGGAAACACTGACGTGTGCGGTCAAGGGGTCTCTTGATGCTCAGAGCACTAAGGATCAGGGCTTCCTCTGCTCATTGTACCTGTAACAGCACATCTGGGGAATGTCACTGAGCTCACCGGGATCTGCCAGAATCCATTCATTTATTCGTGAATTCCATGGTTGCTGCTTCTTTGTCATTGTCATTGCCATTGTCCTCATTCTTGTGGGGGCAGTGGGGACAGGTAGCTGAGCCAGGTAGACTGCACTCAGGAGAAGAGCCAAGCAGAAGCCACGCCCGCCCGTGGTCACGCAATTCCCAAGAGCACAGAGGACCAAGGCCCTGCCTGAGCCCAGTCTGTGGTTTTGTTTTCCAGAGAGTCCACGTTACCACCCATGTGGGGTGTGTTTCAAATGTGTGCCTGGCTTTGTATGTAAACACAGAGAAGCACAGCTCTGCATCCTTGTTTTCAGCGTGAGGTGGAGGGGGCTTGTTTTGTTGCTGCGTGTGGCTGGGGTCCTGCTGACAGCCAGGCCCTGCTTTCAGCTGCCTTCCTGTCTCTCCTCCTTCCTTTCATCTCTTCACCATTTCCCTCGCTCTCCACTGGGCCTGTTGCTGGAGGAAAATGTTACACTCTAAGGTCGTGCAAGGGGTCACCATATCTTGAGACCCACAGGTCACTGTGGTCTGCTGGGCAGACACAGCAGTCACAGGGCAGGACTTCACTGTGCCCAGTTGCTAAGAGCCAGCATTCCCGAACATGGTCAGAGGTCCCAGGCAGGTCCCCGGAGGGGCAGGGGCACTAAGAGGAGTGTGGGGGATGGCCTGAGCAGGACGACACGTGTGGCAGGGGCACCATTGTCCTCCCATCTGGCTCAGGTCACGCCTGGTCCAGAGGGGACATTGGCAGCTGGAGCTGGCCAGTCTTTGCTTTTGGAGTGGAGCATGGCATTGGGGTTTGAGAGCGGGGTTCTCACTTCACATATATAGGTGTCCTGTGTGACCCGTGCAGGGGACGCTTGTCCGCAGTCAGCCCAGTGGACGGGGTAGACTCAGGCCCTTCTCTCTCTGCGTCAAGTGAGCCAGGCGCCTGGTCTCCGGGTCAGGCTCCAGGAGCGGAATCCACAGGATGGCCTTGCACCACTGCCCGCCTGTGAGTCTGCAGTACGTGGGCTTCCGAGCCCTCCACCCACTAATAGTATGTTTCTCCTCACCTCTAGGGTGATCCCGGGACCAAAGGGGACAAAGGGCCTCCCGGAGGGAAGGGCCAGCCTGGGGACCCTGGAATTCCAGGTCACAAGGGCCACACGGGTCTGATGGGCCCCCAGGGACCACCGGGGGAGAACGGAGCAGCAGGCCCCCCCGGGCCTCCAGGCCAGCCAGGATTCCCAGGACCGAGGGTAAGGATGCTGGTGTGGCCTCCATGCGGGGCTCTGTTCATCTCTGTGCAGGAGCCAGAGGGGCCCCAGCGGGCCAGGGACTGGCTGTGTGACTGGGTCTCGTTCTTCCCCTTACCAGCCTGCTTTCTTTGTCTCTGAGAGAAGAGCACGTGTGTTAGGATGTGAGGTGTGCTCTGATGATCGGGTGAAATAATCACACAATAACAACGACAACATGGAACCTACTGTTGTTGAGTTGCTGTGTTCGTGACTCTGTGGGGCGGAGTAGAGCTGCCCACAGGGCTTCCAAGGTGGTGATCAGAGACAGCTTCTACCTCCTCTCCCTGCGCTAGCCAGTGGATTCGAGCCCACAGCCTTCTGGTTTGTGGTGGAGCACCTAACGACCGTGTCCCTCGGACCCTTCACGCCGAGTGCAGTAGGAAGCACTGTTGTTCATGTCAGGTGCTGTTGGACCAGTTCACAGAGACCCTGTAGGACAGAGAACTGCTCTGTGGGGGTTCCGAGGTCACAAGCCTTCCTAAGGAAGCTCTGGTGGCCTAGTGGTAAGAAGCTGCACTGCAATCCCAAATACCTGCAGTTCAAATCCACCAGCAGCTCCACGGGAGAAGGAGGGACAGTCTCCTCCCGTGTGATTAAACACCTCTAAAACCCTGCCAAAGTTCCAGCTATGGATTGGTTCTGACTCCAGAGTACACACAAGAACAAGCCTTTATAAACACAAAACCTTTTCCCCATAGAGCTTCTGATGGGGTCAAACCACTGACCTTTTAGTTAGTACCAACGCTTTAACTGCTGTACAACCGGACGCCCAGCACAGCTTAGGAGATGCTAAGTGAGGACTCAATGAGGACTGAGTGATGCTTAGTGAGGACTCCTTTCCTCACGCCCTCTGAGCACCCGGGGGTGGGGGGCCTCAACTTGGTTGTGTTGGTGCAGGGCATGTCTGGCAAGATGAGAGCCGCTTAGAGCATCTCACTGTGCCAGGCTCCTGGTGCTTTAAGGACAGTGGTGCCAATTTGGAAATCAAAGGGGCGAGTCTACAAAAGTCCGGCTTCTTGAAAGACCCCCTTTCTGGAGCTGGATGCTTTGTGGGCAGCTGCCAGCACTGAGGGCTGAGGGCCATCTCTGCACAATGGGAGTGATGGCTTGGTGATGGAGGAGGCTCCCACCGGCCGAGTGTCAGAGGGGGTCTCCAGACCTATGTTTCCGGAAGCTCCCCTGCAGCCTGGACAGCTTCATGGCCATAGCAAGCTTCTGAGCACCACTGCCTGGTGGCTGGAGGCTGAGCTGATCGTGGTTACAGTAGCCGACCCTCTAGGGGGTTTTCTTGGGAGGAGATTGCCCACTTTTCTCCTGCAGGGCAGCTGGTAGATTTGAACCACATGCCTCTGTGACTGCAATGCAGCTTTTTACCACTAGGCTAACAGAACTCCATTAGAACCTTTAGACTGGTCTTCGCAACGAGGCTGGGAGACAGTCGTGGCCTTGACCTGTAATCACTCAGAGCATCGTCTTTGGAGGCAAAGTGGGAAGAGCTTGCAAGCCCTCAGTTCTCTGTGGAAGCCACAGCATGCTGCTGGCACGTCTGAACGTTTGTGTGTGGTGTGTGTGTGTGTGTGTGTGTGTGTGTGTGTGTGTGTGTACGCATGTGCGCACCTGGGTGGTACACTCGGCCTTTGACAACAGTGCTGGTGGTTCACATGCTTCTGGAAGCAAGTTGGGAGAAAGGACTGGTGACTGCTGTCCTTCAAGTCGGAACCGATCCGTAGCTGACCCTCCAGCAGGATTTCACAGGCAGTAAACTGCACGGGAGTGGTCAGAGGCAGTAAATCGCACGGGAGTTGACGGCCCATCTTTCTCTTGTGGAGCACCTGGTGGATCCAAACTCTGTACCTTTGCATCAGCAGCACAGTTCCTTCCCACGAGGCCGCCTAAAACCTGGCCATTGAAAAGTATAGAGTGTTGTTCTACCGTGACACACCCGGTGTCACCCCAAGTCCCAGTCAGCTTGACAGCATAGGCTCCTCTAGGACAGGGATTAGGGGGAGAAACGAGGGAGACACGAGGACAAGGTGCTCCCAGGGCAAGTGCTGCTGTGGCCTCTCCGTGTCCTGCGCCATCAGGATCTAGACCAGGATCTTCTGTAAGGATGAGTAATTCTGCCTTCCCCTGCCCCCCACTTCCAGGGGGAGTCCCCATCCACGGACACCCTGCGTCGGCTCATTCAGGAAGAGCTTGGGAAACAGCTGGAAGGTAAGTAGCTGGCTTTAGTACGGCCCTGGGTTTAGTGTGGCCCTGAGTTTAGTACATCCTGGGTTTAGTGCGGCCCTGGGTTTAGTACATCCTGGGTTTAGTGTGGTCCTGGGTTTAGTATATCCTGGGGTTAGTGAGGTCCTGGGTTTAGTGCGGCCCTGGGTTTAGTGTGGTCCTGGGATTAGGACATCCTGAGTTTAGTGAGGTCCTGGTTTTAGTATGGTCCTGGGTTTAGTACATCCTGGGTTTAGTGAGGTCCTGGTTTCAGTGTGGCCCTGGGTTTAGTGCGGTCCTGGGTTCAGTGCGGCCCTGGGTTTAGTACATCCTGGGTCTAGTGTGGTCCTGGCTTCAGTGTGGCCCTGGGTTTAGTACATCCTGGGTTTAGTGTGGTCCTGGGTTTAGTGCGGCCCTGGGTTTAGTACATCCTGGGTTTAGTGCGGCCCTGGGTTTAGTACATCCTGGGTTTAGTGTGGTTCTGGGTTTAGTGCGCCCCTGGGTTTAGTACATCCTGGGTTTAGTATGGTCCTGGGTTTAGTACATCCTGGGTTTAGTGTGGTCCTGGGTTTAGTACATCCTGGGTTTAGTACATCCTGGGTCTAGTGTGGTCCTGGCTTCAGTGCAGTCCTGGCTTTAGCTCAGTCCTGGATTTCACGTGCTTGAGCACTAGGGGCTTTGACAGCTTCAGGAAGTGGTTCTCTCACCTGTTCTTCAGAGCATTTCCAATGTGGTGTGTAAAGCACAGCTCACAGGTGACAGGTCAGGATTCGGAAGTCACTCAGTGTCCACGTCCAGCCTCTGTCTGAGCAGGGACTTCCTTCTGGTCAGGGGCGCTCATAAACTCATTCTTTTATGCTCTGCCTTCAGTCATTGGCCCATCGACACGTCATGCTGGTGGGCTGCTCTGGGCCTCACAGTCCCAGGGAGGAGACTGACAAGCAGACAGACAAGGGGGTATTAGAGCTGTAAGGGAAGTACTGCGATAGGGCTGATCTCAGAGGGCCCTGAGAGTGGACAGGTGGACCGCCCAGAGGATAGGGCACCAGTGAGGGACGGTTCCTCAACACCTTGTGATCTGTGAGTGGAAAGATGTGATGAGACTCCAGCCCGAGGAGAGGAGGAAACAGTGCCTTCGAGGAGCTCCATGGCCGGCCCGTGCCTGGGACATAGCAGGTGCCTGGTGAGGGAGAGGCCAGAGGCGAGTTAGTTACAGTCTATTAAGAGAGCGTTGATAGAGAGGTCCTTCAGGAGATGCGCGGCTAATCCAGAGGCCGCACTTCTCTGCTGGTTCCAATCTACCAGCCATTGCAAGAGAGAAAGAAGGGGCGGTCTCCTCCAATTGATTATCATCCACAGAAACTCGCTGGAGAGGCAGCTGTAGGGCAGAACCGACCCAGTGTCAATGAGAGATGGAGGGAGGGTGTTGAGTGTGCACCAGTCTGATGGCAGAGTGTGAAACCTGCAAGACATGAAGTAGGTACACGCTGTCAGTGCCAGTACACTTGTTGGACACAGAGTTGCCACAAGCTTGCGTCTGTTAAAAAACATTTCAAACTCTACAAAGTGGAATAAAGCAAAGCACAATAAAGCGAGGTGTGTTGGAAGGACTTTTAATGACCAGCGCATCCAGCCTTCAGCTTGCAGGTGAGGAAGCTGGTAGGCAAGAGGAAGAATCATTAAGTATTGATATGAACTTCCATCTTCCTGCCTGAAAATCATGGTAAAAAGTACAATTGATGCTATTATTATGCCACCTCCCTGTCTCCCACCACCGCCATCACGGCCACCCCCACACTCTAACACCACACCATCAACCATGACCACCTTGCCACCATCACCACCTCCCCACCATCACCAACTACACTACCATCACCACCACCTCCTCCACGATCACCACAATCACCACCTCCCTACCGTCACCACCTCCAGCACCATCACCACCTCACCATCATTACCACCACCTCCATCATCACCACCATCAAAACCTCCCCCCTCCACCATAACCACCTTCTCCACCACCATCACCACCACCACCACCCCATGACCATCATCACCACCACCTCCACCATTACCACCTTCTCCACCATCACCACCTCCCTCCATCACCACCTCCACCACCATCACCACTACCCTCACCCCCATGACCATCATCACCACCTTCTCCACCATGACCACCTCTACCACCTCTACCACCTCCACCACCATCACCCCTTCCCACCATGACCACCACCGTCTGTTGTCACTGCACTGACTGTTGACAGGTTGTCCACCGGTACAGCCACCGGTGCTCCCTGTGCACACACAGCAGGAGCCAGGCACCGCCCACAGGACCTCTCCTCTGCTCCATCCTGGCACCGGTCCTGGGGTGCTCATCATTGTTCTTAACAGAGGAGGACATCGAGGCCAAGAAACTTGTCAGCTGCCCCATGTCCCTCCTGGGTTGACCCGGATGCTCACGGCTGCCCATGCCTTCCTGTGGTTGCCCAGTGGGGAGGTGGATGCTCAGGCACGGCACGAGGACCAGGCGATGTGCTTTCCGGCCTCCGTTTGTGACGTTGTAGCAAAGCCTGCATTGTTCCATCATAGTGCTTGTTACTGTCCCCAGAGTTCAGAGTTTTGTGGTGAGTGGCCTTCTGTCCTTCTCCTCCATCCCTCCTTCCTAAATCCTCTCTCTCTTTCCTGTTCCACAGCCAAACTTAGCTACCTCCTGGCCCAAATGCCCCCAGCACACATGAAGGCATCTCAAGGCAGACCTGGGCCCCCTGGACCCCCTGGGAAAGATGGGCTTCCGGGCCGCGCCGGCCCCATGGGGGATCCAGGCAGGCCGGGACAGGGTGGTCTGGAAGGACCTTCTGGACCTGTAGGACCCAAAGGTGAGTAAAGCTCTGGGATACATGTCCCCTGAGTGCTGTTTGCGGGCTGAGAGAGAGCTGGGGCAGGCCCACACTCTGCGTTATTCATGTCCACGTTCCCCACAGCTTGTGAACACCCTGAAATTTGGCATCCTGTCATTTTTTTCATATGTATAAAAAGTTTCCATACTTGACATTTTTGCAAAATAATCCTTCTGCCAGGAGGATCGAATCAGTTCCCTCCCACTTGTTTGCTTCCCTTCTCCACGGTTACCGTCTCGGGGTGGGGGGTGGTTCTGTACCCTCTTCTCCCTGCTCTAAGCTGAGACAAACTGAGACAGAGACATTTGGCCTCCAGCAAGTGAACGTTAGATGCCGGCCACGTAACAGGAGAGTGAGCTTAGAGCTGCAGCTAGAAGTGTCTGTCCCCCCCCCCCAACTGGCTCTCAGAGGGGCTTGTCACAGACACTACCTGCTCCTGACAGCTGCAGCCCTACTTCCCGCTTGGCTGGCCATGGGATGGTGGCGAGCAGGTCAGAATGCAGACTCTGAAGGCAGAGGAAGAACTCGAAGCCAAGCTCATCCACCTGTTCGTTCTCCCTTTCCTTCTGGGGAGACGCGGCACTGGATGGGGAAGGAGACACGCGGTGTGGCTCTGACTGTGGCCCTGTTGACATGTGTGTGAGCAGGAGTGGATTGAACAGAGCCTTCTCCACCTGGAGACCAGAGTATGCAGTTGGGGCTACCAGGGACCAAGCAGACTGGGCCGTGGAAGATCCTGGACAGAATGAGCCAAAGTCTAGAACACGATTCAGAATCATAAAGAGGACCATGCTTACTGGACTGATTGAGATTCGGGGGACCCCTGAGACTATAGGCCTTAGACACCGCTCAAGCTGGAGCTGCACCCCCTCCCCAGGGATCACCTTTCAGCCCCACAGCAGACAGGCTGACTTTGTGCCTTGTGGGAACACCTACGAGGGACAGGTTTCTCAGACCAATCGACCATGAGAGACTGAAAGGACAGCGTTCGCCCAAAACCAGCATCCAGAAGGCAGGGGGAGGCAGGAGTGGACAAACAGAAATGGGGAACCCCTGGTGGAAGTGGGAAGGTGCTGAGTGAAAGGTATACAAGCCATGTATGTCTTGAAAGAAAATATGAGTTGATTGTCAGATGGGGACCTTCTGTGCTCCGCAACTTCCACCTGCCACCCCAGCACACACAGTGGTCAGAGGCCACCCCAAAACGTGCAGTGGTCAGGGGACACCCCAGCACACATAGTGGTCAGGGGTCACCCTTCACACCACACAGTGGTCAGGGGACACCCCAGCACATACAGTGGTCAGGGGTCACCCTTCACACCACACAGTGGTCAGGGGACACCCCAGCACATACAGTGGTTGGGGCAGGCTCTGAAGGAGCACATGCTGCCTCCCCCCCTCCTGCTTTGGGTCTCTGATCTGCTTTTGTTGCGGTTTCCACACAGACTGTATACATTTTTCTCACCAGGTGAGCGAGGAGCCAAAGGTGATCCAGGTGCACCTGGAGTGGGCCTGCGCGGCGAGACGGGTCCCCCTGGAATCCCAGGTAGGACACATCTGGTTTGGGAAGGGGTGGAGGAGACACCCTGAACCACTATAGGCCTTAGGAACGGGAGGTGGGCAGCGAAGATGGAATCATTTCTATGGAATCTTTCTGAACTGCCAGCTTCTTCAGATTGAGAGTAGAGGCCTGAAGCTGCTTGTCTGAGCGGATAGATTTTCTCAGGGAAGGGGACAGAGCTGGAAACCAGGTCTCCACCCCTTCCTCTCAGGCTGCTCCACTCCTGGGCTTGTGTGATGAGTAGTTATTGAATAAATGGGTAACAGCATGCATATTCAGTGTCGGAAGAAGGAAAGAATGGTCATTAAAGTGTCAAGGATAAACAGAATAGGAAGGCACTATGTAGATAGATGAGCAGTTGGTGGGTAGATGTGTAAAAAGATAGTTAGACATGCAGCTAGATAAGACATATATATGTAAGGAGTTAGAGAGATAGATATCTAGAAATTCTGCCTGGAATAATAGGGAAGACATCGTTTAGATAGATAGGTTGATGTGTAGGTAGGTAGATATGTGAAAGTCAGGAAATGGACAGGTAGTTAGAAATATAGATAAATATGGAGCTAGGTAAGACTGACAGATGGGTAGGTAGGTAGATATAGATGTATATAGACAGACAGACATAATTCACAGATAGACATACAGACAGATGTGAATGTAGGTCATTACAAATGGAGACAGATATGCAGGCTAACAGATAGATATGTAGATAGGTTTACAGAAAAAAGGCAAGCTTTTTGGCTTTGAAGAATGGCTGTGGCAGACTTCCTGAATTCTCAGAGTCCAAAATGACAAATCCCATGAAAGAGTCACTGAATAAAATCAAGATGAAGGACTCAGGTTACAGCAGAGCCCAACCCAACAGACCACCTGTGTGTTTTTGCTCTTGGGCCAGGTCAACCTGGAGAGCCTGGTTATGCTAAAGACGGACTTCCTGGAAGCCCTGGGCCTCAAGGGGAAACAGGACCGGCAGGACACCCTGGACCCCCAGGCCCGCCAGGACCCCCGGGCCAGTGTGACCCCTCCCAGTGTGCCTACTTTGCCAGTCTGGCTGCCCGACCAGGGAACGTGAAGGGTCCCTAGAAGGTTCCAGAGCGCCTGGCGATGGTAGAGGATTTCTGAAAACTTGAACTCGAGGCTGATGGGAAGCCAGAGGACTTGAAATATGCCAGCCACGTGTGTTTGTGTTTTAATTTCTTCTGTTATTTGTTTTCATTTTATTTTTGCAGAAGACCTCAACGTTATTAAAACCAACAGATGCTGCTGGTTGGTCAGATATTATTAATGTTATTACTGTTAATTATTATATTATTATATCACATACTTTGTAAGATACTTTCCCACTCCCTAGTCTTGGAAAAACTTGATGTGTGGGGTGGCAGGCTTTCCCCAACCCCCCTCTCTCCTTCCTGGAAATCCCAAGCTGAAGTGTAGCTTCTGTTCCCCCGCACCCCCCAGCATTTTAAGATGGGAATGTAATAATAAATGCACAAAGGATCAAAAAAGGAGGGTGGGGGGGGGGGCTGGGAAGACAATCCATGGTCTGAGGCAGCAGGGGATTCTGAAATCAGAAGGTGTCAGACCCCAACTTCAGCTGAAAGCATGCCGGGACTTGGGTGTTGAAGGATTTGGAGAAGTCATTGACCAGCTAGAACTTGGAAGAATCTTTTGTGACCTTCTGTGTCTTTTTCTCTGGTCTGTTCTCTGACTCACTCACACCCCAGCTGCTGCCCACAATTCCTGAGCCCTCAGCCTGTGCTGTTTACATCTATGATCATTAGGCCGTTTGCTGAGGGAGTAAATTAGAGTGCCCATTCATTTCATCCTTGTGTCTGCCCAGCTGCCGACTTAAGGAAACTGGTGCTATGAAATTCTGACCTGGGTCAAATTTACCTCCTTCCTTCAAAGGAAATGTTAAGAAAACAGGCAATGCACTAGTACTCTTACCTGTACCAGAGGTTAGCCAGGGAGCACTTAGCCCAAATGGCCGCTTCCCAGGAGAGAGCAGCTGTGGGCAGGGAGAGGGGTCATTCCTTCTGATGGGCAGTACCCCAGAGCTGGACAGTGATCCTTGGGCACACTGGGCTCCCTCAGTGTCTCAGAATTGCAGAAGGCAAAGCTTGTTGCTTGTTAAGAACTTAAGTTCTTGTGTCAAGGCCACATGGTGGAGCAGCCCTCGAGGGCTAGTTTGACTTGTTAGCACTGGTAGGACTTTTCCTGTTCTGCATCGTCGGTTTTAACGGTTCATTGTGAAATAAGGTGTCGGGTGGTGAAGCCCTTGTTCCCCAAAGAAGAAGAGCCACCGGAGCGCTTCCCAGAGCTGGAGGCCCCAGGGCCCCGTGTGTGAACACAGTGCGTTGGATGTGGTATGTCCACACCTGCAAATCTCAATAAACCAGAGTTTGCTTCTCCTCAGGTCTTCCTCCTCTTTTATTTATCTCTCCCTTTTACTTGGCTGTGGACTCCCTCCCCCCCAGGTCTTTTCCAGATGTGAGGTCCAGCCCAGAGTCTGAGAGTCCATCCACGTGCTGAGTGAATGAAGGAGGAAGGGAGCATCGCCAGGCTTGTTCTGGGGAGTAGGGGTGTAGCATCGTAGCCTGTATCTTGGAAGATACCTAGTAGATTTACACACCTATGCAGGAAGGTTTGATAAGACAGAGGGTCATTGGAAATGAAGGAAGCCTTTGATCAGATGGGCCAACAGCCACGTCCAAGGGTTCATACACCTCTAATATGCTGAAGCGGGCACCGGTGTGCGGTTGCAGTGACGTAGCTCTGACTCTGTGGTGACTTTACCACCACTGATGGGGTCACAGCATGGGAGTGAGGGGAGCAAGGTGGAAGCTGTTCAAAGCCGGCCTCGTGGCTTCTCCCTGTCACCAGTTGCTTTGAGAAGGTCTACTCGTACTCTGAAAACACTATTCTGTATTTATTCATGTATTTTATTTAGCTTTTAATGTTATTTTTCATTGTCAATTGAGGGAAAGTTTACAAAAGACATTGATTTTTTTTTTCATCCAATCAACCATTCACAGGCGTTTTGTTTTACAACATTGTTGTTGTTAAATGCCGTCGAGTCGTGGATGACTCATAGCAACCCTGTGGACAAATAACCTGAACACGTGTATAACTTTCATCTTTTCTCCACGTTCATAGAGTTTCCAGAGTCAAGCTATTTTCAGAAGTGGATGCCACTCCTGCTTCCAAGCTTGTTTTAGTTGAGAAGCTCCACCAAACACTGTCCACCATGGGGAACCATTATTGCATTTAGCACATCAGTGTCACAGTGTTTAGCATCACGGCAACCTCGAGTTACCTCTGTACAGCAATGCGCAGAGCAGTATTATACCACTTAGAAGAATGTTTGACAAAATACAGTTCAAACTAGGCCTGAGGGCTGCAGATTATAGTCAACCACCTTTGACTTGGTAGCATAACTTTCTGTCCACTAGGCCAACGTATATTAAATACTCAGAATGTAACCAGCCACACTCCACCCTCTCCTCTCCTGTCATTCTCATTTCCAATAATCCTTCTAACCTACCTTCTCACGCCTTCAGGGCTCTTCTGAATATATACGGTTATCTGTTCGAGCAGGTTTGTCTGGTGTTGGGCTGGAAGCTGAGACACAGACTCAGCTTTGTTCTACATTTGAAAGGTGACCAAAGTCCATGTCTCAGGCGTCCACCCATTTCCATCAGCCCAGTTAAGCATGGCCTGTTTTAAATTATTATTATTGTTTTAATGCAACATATATATTTTTACAGCATATTCTTTCTGTTTACTTCCCCCATTCGTTCATTGCTGCATAGTTTCCACTCTGCCCACTCCTCCCCCCAGTTCATTTTTCTCTTTGAAATTTTTTTTCATTGTGATATAATACCCCACCAAGTCCACAGTCTACTTTATTATGCATTTCTTTTTTTGTAATCTTGTTATGAAAATAATACCTAATCCTATATTCCTTTTAAACAGTTCTCTCTCTCATTGATTTCAATGCAGTATACATTATTTGTCCCCTCTTTTCTTAGGTTCCCCCAACCCTGATGTCAGTCTCGTTTTACAACAGTGACACTATGCAGTATTTGTCCTTTTGTGACTGAGATATTTCACTCAGAATAATATCCTTCAAGGTCACTCATTTTGTATAATATTTCATGAGTTCTTTGCTTTTCAATGCGGCGTAATATCTGCTGTTGGTTGTATTTCTGGTGTAGCTGAGTTTTGCCTTTCTTTACAGCCTATGCTGATGGGGCCCTCACTGTGTGCTGTCTTTTCCTTCAACCATTTTACTATGTGTCTATGATCTACTTAGAAGTTTTCCGCTCTCCTCACCCTCCCTTTTCATTCGTGGTAACTCTCCGGAAACGGTTCGTCCTGTGTCAACCTTTGTTTAGATTTATATACTACTTGTCCTTTTATGGCTGACTTCATTCATATCTTGATAGGATGATTGATTCATTAATTTATGTATTCACCGAACGCATCAGTCACTGACCAGGCACCTCCTTTGAATCACTTTTATGCGGTTGGATGTTTCTTTGTGGGAAAGGAACTTTTATTTCAGGACATCAGGAGACATATTACACTAGGGAAGTCCACTGTCAGGGACCTCTTCAAAATTCTAAAGAGCAGTAATGTCACTTTGAAGGGTAACGTGCACCTGATTCAGGCCGTCATCTTTTCAGTCACTTGCTGTGCATCTGAGAGCTGGGAGATGAATGAGGAGAACAGAATTGACGCCTTTAAGTCGCGCTGCTGGAGAAGAGCTAAGTACTTCATGGACAGACAAAAAAGTACAAGCAGATACGTGTCAGGAGACGCGCAGCCAGAGTGTTCCTTGGGGGTGAGGATGGCGAAGCTTCGCTTCATCCTTTGGGCATGTTGCTAGGAGAGGCTGTTCTTTGCAAATGGACATCGTGCTTGGAAAGGCAGAGGGTCAGTGAAAGAGAGGAAAACCTTCAACCAGAAGGATTGACATCGTGACCGTAGGAATGGGCTCAGGTATATCAGAGATGATGAGGAAGGCCCAGGAGAGGACGGCGTTCAGGTCTGTTGTTCAAAGACTCTCTACAAGCCATGCTCAACTCGAGGGCACCACCACCACCACCAGTCTATTTAATACATTGGTGCAAAGTTGGTGTTAGCGGGTGCCAGAAGTTCAAGGAAAACGCTACCACAGAGCAGAATGGAGGCTTCTTGCCAGGATTTTCCCACCAGGACAGTTTCAGTTTGTTTTCACAACCTTACAAAGCACCAGGGGAGACTGAGTTTCCCTCTGAGAGAGGACGCTCTGCAGTTCCGATCCAGTCCTGCAGTCAGGGCTCCCTGCCCACCTCGCTGCCGCTGTAGCATTTTGTCTTCCGTGTTCTCAAGTACTGAATAATCGCCGTTCCCAGTTGAGAGAGTTCTGCCAGAAGATAAATAGCTTAATCACCTATGTGTCAATCTGCATGACGTTATTGCACTGAGCAAACATTAACTTCAAATGCTGCTTCTAAAACAAGATTAAAATCTAATCAGGATGTTCAAGAACTACTTGTCCTACCTTCAATTTGTAGTGTGAATCATGGTTAATATTTCTTCTTGTTTCACCCCCCAAGTGCTCGTTATAACTTATAACTTTCACTTCAGAAGTGCAGTCATCTGCTACACTGAACCCCACTGTCAGGACCCAGGTCAGTGGAGGGATAAGGGTCTTTTTATAGTTCTTGCTGAGAAACTTGACCTGGAGTTGTCCTTGGCCCAGCCCACAGGTCATTTTCTGTAGCAGCAAAAGCAAAGAGAGGATAAAGCAGACCCCAAATACCACCCTCTTCATCGTTGAGCTGATTCCGACCGCTGGTGTCCCAGATGCTCAGACAAACCCTCCATTGGGTTTCTTGGCTGCGATCTTGAATTGTGATGTTGGCAAGAATATTGCACATACTTCATGGAATGCCAAGAGAACAGACAGACAGACAGGTCTTGGGCAAAGTGCAGCAAGGATGGTGAGCCTTTGTCTCATATATTTTGGGCATGTTCTTAGGAAAGGCAAATCCTTAGGAAAGGACATTAGGCTTGGAAAAGTCGAGGGTCAAGGA